TACAATATTAAATAAATTAAATTTAAATAAAACCTGAAATGGAGAAAATATAGCTTGAAAGTCAAAAGCATGATCGATTAATAAACAATATGTCCCATAGAAACTATGCAAACATTTATTGAGACCAATAATCAATCTAATAATAAATAAATTAAATCTAAATAAAACCTGAAATAGAGAAAAAAAACAGCTTGAAAGTCAAAAGCATGACCTATTAATAAAGAAGGTACCACATAGAAACTATGTAGAAACTATTTAAGACATGATTTGCTTCTTTTTTTGCTCTTCAATCATTGACATAAAAATTTTCTAAAGATTGTATTAACAAGTCTAGGAGAATAGTAAATAGAAATGTGAATCGCGAATGAGAAAATTCTATACAAGAAATCATAGACAAGACTTCAAGGATCACAAATGTGGTTAACATAAAAATACCTAACATAATATGCAAGTACCACATAAAAAATTAATTAACAGAATCCAAAAAAAAATTACTATAAAAACAACATACTAACACTCTAAAAGTATTTACGAATTAGAAATGACTCAAACTGCAATTTACAAAGTTCATATAAGCAAATTCATTTAATAAAAATTTGTTCATCATCAATAAATAAACAAGAATAGAAAATTAACTTACAGTCAAACAATCTCAAACTTATTTGTTAAATTTTGTAAAAGAGCGATTGGAATTGATTCAAACCTTAATACTCTATAATCAAATTTATTAAACTTAATTTTTCATTGCTCATATTGTATTATAGCATTATAAATAAAAATTGTATGTTTCAAAAATTTGTTATTTTAACTATAAAAAAAAAAGATTTAAAAAAATAGTTAAAGTTAGATACCACACAAAAAAATAGTACCATGTTTTTGAGTATTTTTATGTGTACCATCTTTTTGAGTATTTTTATCATTTATTGGCCGAAATTTATGCCTTTTTTTCTTTGCATTTTAATTATTCATTTACCTTTACAAAAAATAATTTAATTTTATTACTCATCAATTTTGTATTTCAAATAAATTTAATAACAAATTAATGAACTAAATGTTTTTTCCGTGCAAAACACACGTGTTCATTGTTAGTATTACTAATAAAAGTACTTTAAGTAAAAAAAAATTGATTCACTATTTTACTCTCATAAAAAATTCTAAATATCATACTACCTTGTCATAGTCAAATATCTAAATTACAATTACATCTTTATGTATTTAAATTTCTGAATTACCTTATATTATCAATTTTAATTCTCTATCATCTTTGTATAAATATTAATATTTATTAAAAAATATATGCATCATTATACTTTTCAATAAAGTGTTCAAAAACTTCTTCAATATTTCATTACTCTTTCCAAATATAAAGATAACATTATGCACACACACACACACACACACACATATATATATTTCCATCTATACTACTAATAAAGAATGAAACTTTTGTCTTAGCATGAAAAATTTTTATTCACTATTTTAATCATCAATATTTCATTACTTTTATCAAATATAAAGATAACATTATGCGCGCGCGCGCGCGCACACACACAGATATATATATATATATATAATATTTTCCTTCTATACTACTAATAAAGAATGAAAATTTTGTTTTAGCATGAAAAAATTTTATTCACTATTTTAATCATATAAAGAATTTTAAATACCACACTATCCTTCTATAGTTGAATATCTAAATTACCACAATATATTTGTGTTTGAATATCCAAATTATCACTGACATCTCTTTAATTTTTTATTTGCTATATATAAATATCAATATATGCATCGCAATAATTTTCAATAAAACGTTCAAAAAAACTTCATTAATATAATATGATTCATTTCAAATATAGAAATAACATTGTGCTTAAATATGTGTATTTTTTGTATTCAAATTTTTTACCATTTTATTTTTAAGATAAAAAATATTTTTTTACATATTTTTTTTTAAAATAATTTATATTAAATCAACATAATTCTTCAATCCCTGTAACATTTTCATGTTTTGTTAAGAGTTTATATAGAAAAAATAATAGTGTATTTTAAAGTAAAACTTAAATTTTAGAATTTTAATATTCTTCTAAAATATATATTATAGAGTAATATATTATAATTTAAGGTAAATAGTACTTTTAGTTTTTGAAATATGCATGTTTTGACAGTTTGGTTTTATTTTATCAATTTTGTTAATTTGATCCCTAAAACATTTAGTTAATGTTTAAATGATTTATACACAGACAATCTGTTAAGTTTTTAACATAAGTGATCACATGATATTATCCAACGGAATGATACGTGGTTACTTTCGTTAAAAAATTTAATGGACTATCTGGTTAGGGATCATTTAAACAATAATTGAATATTTTAGGGACCAAAAATCATAGATTTCAATGAAGAACTATAGAATAAGATAATTATAAATCAAAATTATATGTACAAAACAAATAAAAAAATCAGTATAATATGTACATTGATATTAAATATTATTAAGAAAATTAGGTAGATAGAGGGTCATGACTCTTCCACTATAATTTATAACATATTGATATATTTTTCGACCTTTTTCTATCCTCCACTAAATGATTGTCTATTGGAAACTAAATAGACAGTGATATCATTTATATCTCTTAATCTTCTTTTGTTTAAGCTTGTTTTTGAACAAATTCTCTCTCAGAAAACAGGACAAAAATTCTCCTACCACCATACAAATCAGTTGAAAAATCTTTTAGCATCTCTCTCTCACCATCGAGTTTGAAAACCTTTTATCTTCTCCCTCCCCTTTCCCCTCTCTCAAACACACCTCTGAAATCGGATAAATTACATAGATAAAATATTTTTTATTAATATTTTATATACAAAAATTATTTACGTGCGACGCACGTGATGTATTACTAGTCTAAAAAAATGCCCGGATCTATTGACAAAACAATTCTCATATTATCCTTATTCTAAATTTTAATAGAATTATTGCAGTGGGCGTCATGGGTCACCCTTCATTCGATCATGCCTTCCTAACAACCTGACCCGCCACAAGTGGGCACAATCCGTTGTCTAGTCGGTTGGGCTGGCCTGATGTTGGCCTTTTTGACAGTCCAATACACCAAGAACAAATGGGTCTGACACAAACTTAGGACCGGTAGTTATATGAGCTCGAGTCTAAAAAATTTGTTATTTTAATTGAACCTAAAAAATTATTTAAGTTTAACCTGTTTAAAAAAGAGAGTTAAGCCTGAATGAGCCTAAAACGAATCAAATCCGAGCCTAGTCCAAGTATTTACATATAAACAAGTCGAGTCAAGTTTGTCGAGTTCCAAAAAAATTGTTCAAGTTTGATTCGTTTAAAAAAACGAATTGAGTTTGAATGATTAAAAATAAGTCAAATTCGAGCCGAATTCAAATCGCTCAATTTAATTAACAATTCTACACACTCTCTGTACTATGTTCTTATTTAATATTCAATTAACTTTGAATGAACCGTCACCACACATTCTTAACCAAGAATAAGATTGAATATATCGAACAATGATACTAATTTATGTTAGAGCTACCTGCAGCATTAAATACTTATTCATTGCAGAAAGATAAGGTAGATAATTATTAAACTCGGTAGGATGGAGTCTTTATACCTTCTTTAAGGAATCTTCATTTTTGTTTGATGTAAGTTCCAAGTTTGGTAGCAGTACTGTGCCATGGGTGGGCACTTATAATGATAACCCACATGCTTGGTCGGGTCCATCCTTCTGTGTCATTCCACCTTTTATTTGTTCACCTGCACTATCTGACCCGGTACTATAGGGTCGGATTATGGTACTAAAATACTTTTCATTGATATTATATTTTTACTTTATTTTTAATAAAAATGTGCTGTGTGAAATTTTAGATTTTTCAAACTATTATTTTAATAAATAATCAATTGTTACAACTCAAAACTATTCATATATACCAAAAAATAACGCTATGACAGACTAAGCTAAGCCCAATTAATTACGAGCCGATCAATAATGATAATCTATTTGTTAGAATGTAGTTCCATTTAAATGGTAGTCTACCATAAAAAAAATAAAAAAAATAATATTTGAATGGGAGGAGTTTTTGAAAGTTTTACGATAACAACATTGGAATCCCGGATTATCCGTTACGGTGTGCCGGACGCAACTCGGGATATATCTTTCCAACGGATACCTTTATCATTACTTCCGGGACCCTATAAATACACGTGCCGGTCCAATGGTTGCACATGCTTCCGACCCAAAAAAAATTCGAAAAAAAGATTAAATTATACAAATATAGTCTTATTGTTTCTGGTGTTTTTACTGCACCTGTTCTTATTTTTGAAATTATACAAATCTAGTCAATGACAACTAGTAACAAGTTATACAAACCTAGAATGTGACAACTAGTAACAAGTTACCCCTTTAGTCAAATCTAGTCAATTTAATGGCTTGAACTACTCATTTTATCTTTAAATGAGAAAATGAATGTTTGGACAATATATTTTTACTTTAAATTGGACATTCATATTTGCCAATCTATCCAACAAATCAACAAAAATTTCCCGATTTTTTTTTCCAATTTTTTTAGTATTTTGGAAAATATCAAGAAAGATTTTGGGTCAAATTTTGTAGAGTGAATAAAGAAGTAACTTGTTATATTGATAGAATTTTTTCAAAATTGATAAATCGAGTTATCCAATTTTATTTACAAGATATTCACAAATCTGATTATCCAAATAAAAGTAAAAATACAAGGGTTAAATATTATTTTCTTACTTGAGGGTGAAATAGGAAATTCAAGTCATTAATTTAACTAAATTTGACTAAATTTATCACCTTATAGGATGTTCAGTGTAATTTCAAACACGAGAGAGAGAGAAGTGAAAATATCATAAACGAGATGGGGTGTCATTGTAATTATCCAAAAAAAAAAAACCCGAGCATAGGCGGAATAAATTTCAAAATTTAGTACTGACTACTGACTACAGAGAGAGTCTTAGCTCCCAAATTCCAGCAGTCTCAGAAAAACAATAAGAGCAGAAAAAGTAGAGAGAGAGAGTCCTAGAGAACGGAGGACAACCTCGTCATTTCGGAGATCGATCTTAATCTTTGGTTCGTGAAGAGAGAGAAAAAGTGTGTGTGAGTGTTGAAGAAGAGAATTCTCTCGACTCCGTTTCTGATTAGGGCATTTTGGTGTCTCTAGAAAAAAAAAAATGGAAAGAAGCACTCCGGTGAGGAAGCCTCACACTAACACTTCAGATCTGCTCACCTGGTCGGAAAATCCGCCGGCCGATTCGCCGGCCACCTGTTCTGCTGCTCAAGGTGCTCGATCCTCGGCTCGTTCTCACCAGGTCGGTTCATATCTGCCAAAAAAATCAGAACGCTATTGTTTTATTTCTAGTTGTATGTTTTGTGTTTGCTGATTTTGTTTGGGGGGAAAATGACAGCCGTCGGATGGAATCAGTAAGGTGGTATTTGGAGGTCAGGTTACAGATGAAGAAGTTGAGAGCTTGAATAAAAGGTGAGAGAGATCTCGTCTCGATTTGTCTCCAAAAACGTTTTTTTTACGCTTCTTTTGTTTGGCGTTTTGTTTTCTTTAATGTTTTGGCCATTTCATTAGTTCTAGGGGGGCAATAAATGCCCTGAGATTAGGAGATTTTTGTTTGTTTTCCTTTTTACTGTTTTTCGTTTGTTGTTATTTTTTTGTCTGTATTGTTCACGGTTTTCACAATATCTATGCCTGTTTCTCAGAGTCTATCTTTTTTTTTTTCTCCAAATATTAATTAGATAAAACTACTTGTAAAATCGTTGCTTTGGCTGGTGTTTTCTGATTCATATTCATATTTGGTCCGCACATGACAAGAATGACGCGCTCTCTCTCTGGGGTGGTTGTATTTTTTTTTTTTAATCTCTCTAGGTGTGTGTGAAAGAGGGAATTAAATTGAGACAAGGATATTCTTGATTTCTTTGTTCTGATTTCGATTTGGTCATCAGCTGTGTGTGATTTTGTGATCAATTTGCTGTCAGCTCTCTTACTTGAAACCATTTTAGTTTCAGTGTTGCAATTAGATCTAGTGATTGAGATCTGAGTATAGTCTTATCACATAAATTTTGCAAATTAACCAAGTTCTGTAATAATTTTCGCTGAACAATCTTCATTCCCAAATTCTAGAGTTGAATAGGGCTAGTGCACTTGATCAGCACCCAATTAAACAATGAGGACCGTGACCCATAACATGACTAAAGTGAAAAGAGGCTCATCAATTAGATAATTTTTGGACAGTATATAATGAAATACTAATCTATGCTATTCAATGGTCCTGGTTGTTTGTCTTCTGAACTGAAAAAAATATTACTCCCTCCATTCCTAAATATTTGTCGTTTAAGGTTTTTGCACAGGGATTAAGAAAGCTATTAAATAACTCTAATACGAGTAAAAAATAATTACACAAGATTAAAATACCCTTATTCAATACGTATTGAAAAGACAAGGAATATGAAAGACACTTATCCTACACTTAATCTATTAAACACTTATTGGAAAATAGAGATAAGGGTAAATTTGGAAGAAAAAATATTTATTATGCTTTGGTTTCATAAAACGACATATATTATAGAACAAATAAAATTGTGTAAAATGACAGATATTTAGGAACGAAGGGACTATATGTTAATTTTCTGGGCAATTCATTAGTTAATTTTATCAATATGTAATGANACCCAATTAAACAATGAGGACCGTGACCCATAACATGACTAAAGTGAAAAGAGGCTCATCAATTAGATAATTTTTGGACAGTATATAATGAAATACTAATCTATGCTATTCAATGGTCCTGGTTGTTTGTCTTCTGAACTGAAAAAAATATTACTCCCTCCGTTCCTAAATATTTGTCGTTTAAGGTTTTTGCACAGGGATTAAGAAAGATATTAAATAACTCTAATATGAGTAAAAAATAATTACACAAGATTAAAATACCCTTATTCAATACGTATTGAAAAGACAAGGAATATGAAAGACACTTATCCTACACTTAATCTATTAAACACTTATTGGAAAATAGAGATAAGGGTAAATTTGGAAGAAAAAATATTTATTATGCTTTGGTTTCGTAAAACGACAGATATTATAGAACAAATAAAATTGTGTAAAATGACAGATATTTAGGAACGGAGGGACTATATGTTAATTTTCTGGGCAATTCATTAGTTAATTTTATCAATATGTAATGAACCCCCCCCTTCCTTCCATATATGGGAGTTGTTAAATATGAGACTTGGATCCGCAACCAACTATCGGTCGGAATGGTTCCAGTGCTTGTGACCCTTGGCCATCTCATGTTCCTTATAAACAAGTATTCCTAATTCAATTAGTTTCTAATGCTCTGCCAATCAAGTTTAGAATATGGTAATCATCACATTACTGCCTTTCTGTTGAACTGTTCGCTTTGGATTTGATCTTCTAAACAGATTTTAGGAGGATGCAGTCCTCTATTTTGAACACCCTGAATCTGCTCAATTAATCATCCCCATAACTGAGCAAAGAACTGCATTTTCAAGGACAAAAGTACTTATAAACTACCCTCTGGTCTTTAACCTCCCTTAGTTTTGTGAATTTTGAAATATTAGTGTTCTTATGCTGGTACCACATGGCTTGATGCAAACAATAATACATAATGGATGTATTCAAAATCTTCGGAGTCTTGGCATTTTTGCCTTCACTTTCATTTGATCATTTTACTTCTTCCTGGTATCCTGGAAGGTGATATGTAACAACTTTTCATTAGACATTTGATTTAACTACATTTGTTGAAAATGTTAGCTTTGCAATGCAGGAAACCCTGTTCGGGGTATAAATTGAAGGAGATAACTGGTAGTGGTATTTTTGCATCTGTTGGAGACAATGATACACTAGAATCTGACAGTGCCAACCCTAATCCATCTAATAAGACAGGATTACGTATGTACCAGGTATCGGTTGAATTATTGCTGAGTTAATATTTTTTGTCAGTTACTAAGTATCCAAAGATTGGCATAAAGTCGATTCAATCAGTGTGTAGTAGCTGCAACCATAGACCAGTGTGGAGTCAGTTTGATACGATCAGTATGTGATACCTGAAAGTTGATTTTGTTTTATTGTCTGATAATTGGAATTTTCATCAGCAAGCAGTAGCTGGAATCAGTCACATTTCATTTAGCGAAGAAGAAACTGTTTCTCCTAAGAAGCCTACTACACTGCCTGAGGTTGCAAAGCAGCGTGAGCTAAGTGGGACTCTAGAAAGCGAGGCTGAGGCAAAGATGAAGAAGCTACCTTCTGATGCTAAGTGCAAGGAGCTAAGTGGGCATGACATTTTTGCCCCACCTCCAGAAATTCAACCTCGGCCATTGGCTGCTCGTGCATTGGCGTTAAGAGAAAGCATAACCATTGGAGAGCCTGCACCCCATACCGTACACACATCTGTCAAAGTCTCTCATGTGAGTGAATGGTGTCAGTAGTAGAAGTGAACTATCCTGTGTTTTGCCTATGTTATCCCACACATGCACCATAATACTGTCAATGTTTGAGCAAAGAAAATTTGAAAACGTCAGCATGCTGGTGTTTAAAGTGAACTGGTTTTTAAAAATGACTAAATTAACTTCAAAAATTGATCCAGCCGGGTTGTGTAATCTTTTGACGTCATTGATATTTTTTTTTGGATCAACATGTCCTTAGTATATAAATTACGTATTTAGAGTGGCTATGGTAAGGTGTGGTATATGGCTGTGTGTTTTGATGATCCCAAGCTCTTGATCTAGTTGGATGTACAGGGTTAGGTTTTCCATAATCTAGTTGTACCTACTCCTTTATTCTAATACTGCTACGAGATTTCTACTTCTTTATATGCATAATTTTTGCAATGTTTTATCATCTGATGAGTTTTCAACTGTGTTAATTGCATAGCCTGCTGGAGGTCAGAGTAATGACATGTTCAGTGAAGAACCCGTCATCAAGACAGCAAAGAAGATTCCTAACCAGAAATTTACTGAGCTTTCAGGAAATAACATTTTCAAGGGAGATGCTCCTCCATCATCTGCTGAGAAACCACTCAGTTCAGCCAAGCTGCGAGAGATGAGTGGCAGTAATATCTTTGCTGATGGAAAGGTAGAATCTCGGGACTACCTTGGTGGGGTCCGCAAGCCTCCTGGTGGCGAGAGCAGCATTGCCTTGGTGTAACTTGTTAGGTCTAACTCAATTGATTTACATTATTATTCCCCGTTGTTTTTTTTTATCTTATTCTCTGTGGGGATGTGTTCTCATGATTTTACTGTGTTTTTGGGTATTGGTTTCGTTAACATGTCGACCAGTTATGTGGACTGCTGGGCTAATTGTGTTGTATGTCCATAATCCTGTGTTTTCCATGCCTCTATAAAGTGTTTGGCTGTTCACTGAATTTATTTTTGCTGCTTGAGGAACTCAATGTAGTAGTACCCTGGAAAATCTAAATTACGAATTGTTATTCCAAAATTTATTGTTATCGACAGAGGGGATTCAATCGACATACAGTTTTTTTTGTTTTTTGGGGTGGGGGGTGGAGTCGCTCCCAAGAGTCCCTTTGGGTGGGATCATTTGTATGTGCCATACCTATAAGGGTCGCAAGGGAGAGGGTAAAACGCTAATTTTTGATTGGAGGATTGAGAATAAACACAGGGCTTTTAACAACTTTCGCGAAATGAAAACGGGTAACATTGTCATATGTTTATTTTTGTTTGTTGTCCTGCTTTATACCCCAGAGGGGTGTGGGGAGGGGGGGGGGGGGGNGGGGGGGGGGGGGGGGGGGGGGGGGGGGGGGGGGGGGGGGGGGGGGGGGGGGGGGGGGGGGGGGGGGGGGGGGGGGGGGGGGGGGGGGGGGGGGGGGGGGGGGGGGGGGGTGCTCCCAATTTTTGCGTTTATCATCCAGAATTTAGAAAATAAAAAACTTATTTATTCTGGAGAGATTATATAAAATGCAGATGGGCAATATGTGGTGTACAACATCAAAACATTTATTGATATATACTAACATATCAAAATGATAAAAATGCTGAAAGATTTATTTGCCCTTTTAACAAGTCAAAAAAAGGCCGAAAGCTACAAAGAAACAAAATCATATATTAAACAAGCATTTGTATCAATAAAATACCATATCATTACTTAGCTACCCTTGCACTATGCCCAGAAGGACCATTCAAGCTGCCACTAATAAGGTGTTGTTCAGGTTGACAACTGCTGAGAAACAGCATACATCGTTGGCCTGAATCGTGGATCGGCCTGTAGACATTCTCTTGCCAATTTTAAAACGGATAGCAGTACTTCCTTGATTTCAAGTGAGGGAGACGGAAGACGCTTGTCCAATAAATCCTCCAGCTGCATGTTCTCAGTTGATTGAGAAACCAAATAAGTGATGTAATCCCCTGGATGTGTTCCTTTCATCACTTCCAGTGTTAACACACCGAAGCTAAACACATCGCACTTCTCAGTCACCTTCATCGTGTAAGCAAACTCTGAAAAGAAAAACAACATGTGATCAAGCAATTTATGTTCAGTATGTGCTTATGAGAGCAAAAAAACTGGTATTACCTGGTGCAACATAACCATATGTGCCCGCAATTGCGCTCCAATTAGAAGAGTCTAGTTTCAGAAGCTTAGAAGCGCCAAAATCTGAAATACGAGCCTCGTACTCGGTATCCAGTAAAATGTTGCTACTTTTGATGTCTCGATGAACAATCGCTGGTGAGCAATCATGGTGCAGGTACGCCAAAGCATGAGCCACACCCTTAACAATATTCACCCTCTTAGGCCAGTCTAATTTCTTAGCTTCATCTTCTATGCTCAACATTGTGGCCAAGCTACCCGTTTCAAGGTACTCATAGATANCAGGTACGCCAAAGCATGAGCCACACCCTTAACAATATTCACCCTCTTAGGCCAGTCCAATTTCTTAGCTTCATCTTCTATGCTCAACATTGTGGCCAAGCTACCCGTTTCAAGGTACTCATAGATCAAAAATGAATGTCGAGCATGTTGACAAAAACCATAGAATTTCACGATATTCCGATGTCGTACTTCTGTTAATGCTCTTACCTCACTTAAGAAACCTTTACAATCTACCATCTCAGATGAGGGATGAAGCTTCTTCACAGCTACTACATTAGCCGGTGGCAGATTTGCTTTGTAAACAACTCCATATCCTCCCTGTCCTATGCAATGTGTGGCATCAAAATCATTTGTGGATTTTAAGATTTCATCATACAATGCTCTTCCATCAAAAGTTGTTATTGCAAATAGATCTCTAGTTTGCACCTTGCTATGTTCGACTTGTGAACTTCTCTTTCTTTTTTTAGAATCAATGAGTAGTCCTATGAATGCACATAAAAATAGAACTGCTCCAAGAAGACAGAGTTCGATTTTGAGGCCTCTCTTTTGAAAATCTTTGTGGACTGAGGAACGGTTTTTGCAAGGTTGCAATCCCGTAATATTGCCACACAATCCTTTGTTCCCTTTCACAGCTTCTATTGAAGCATTCATAAAAGCTGCACTGTTGGGGATGGGACCTTCCAACTCATTGTAGGATATGTCAATATTTGACAAGCCACGCATGTCTTCAAAATCCTTTGGAATAAGTCCAGAGAGGTTATTGTGGGAGAGATTCAATACTTCCAAACTCTGCAAACTTTTTATTTGCGATGGTATTTTCCCTGTGAGCAAATTATGACTCAAATCCAGCTGAGACAGGTGAACTAACATACCCATCTGAACTGAAATTTCTTTGGAAAAAATGTTGTTGCTCAAGTTTAAGTAATGCAGTGGCAAACAGTGTACAAGAGACCCTGGCAGTGACCCGCTCAGTTTGTTTCTCGACAGGTCCAAAGACAACAGACCATTAAGTGATCCTAGTTCCTGAGGTATACCACCAGAAAGTTGGTTGCCATTCAAATACAACTCCAGCAGAGAAGTCAACTTTCCAAATTCCTTCGGAATCTCCCCAGTTAAATGATTTGAAGAAAAATCAAGTATATGAAATTGAGTTGAATTTCCTAACTCTGGTGGTATGCTACCCGTGATGTTGTTCCCTGCGATCTTCAAGATTTTCAGTTGTTTGCACCTACCCCAGCTATTACCCCAGTTATCAGTGAGTTTACCATAAAATTCATTGTTACTAAGATCAATGAATTTCATGTCTGGATAGACACCAAAATCTTCAGACATATTTCCAGTGAGCCGATTGCCGCTGAGGTGGACTCTGACTAAGCTTGAGCAATTTCTAAAACTTTTGGGGATTGGACCAGTGAGTTGGTTGCTGCGACAATTGAAGTACGACAGTTTTTCACCTTGGCAAATTTGTTCTGGTAAATGGCCAGAGAGCTGATTTTTTTGAATTTGTAGTTCAACCAATTTCAATTTTCCCAGTTCTTGTGGGATGAAACCAGAAAGATTGTTGCAATTGAGGCCTAACATTTCTAAATTGCTCAGATTACCAAGTGAAGCAGGAATGGAACCATTCAGTTGTTGGTTCCCCCCCAACATCAATGCTTTGAGGGATTTCAAGTTTCCTAAGGCTTCAGGAATGGAACCAGAAAGTTGATTATCATAAAGGTGCAACAAAGTCAACTTATTTAAGTTGGGGAAAGTGGAAGGAATGGGACCTGTCAAATGATTGGTGCTTATGTCGAGCTCAAGAAGATTATGGAACAATCCCATTTCAGGAGGAATGGGACCAGAAAGACTATTATTGTATAGATATAAATAAGTCAACTTGCTCAAACTACCAAGAGAAGCAGGAATGTAACCACTAAAGTTGTTGGTGTACAAAGCCAGATCAATCAGAGATTTTAGTTGGCCGATTTCTTGCGGGATAGAACCGTATAAATTATTTTTGAACAGGAGAAGGTTCTGAAGATGTTTTAACAAGCCAAGTTCGGGGGGGATTATTCCTGAAAGTTGATTGACAGCCAATGTAATATAAGCAAGAGATTTTAGTTGGCCTATTTCTCGGGGAATAGTCCCATTCAAACTATTTACGGACAGACGAAGGCTCTGAAGATTTTTTAATCCTTCAATTTCTGGTGGGATTATTCCTGAAAGTTGATTGCCAGACAAATCAAGATAGATGAGGTTGAAAAGTTGACCTATTTGAGGAGGGATTATACCAGAGAGATTATTCCAGCTGATTTCAAGATATGAAAGATTGGGGAGAGACGAGAATGGAAAGTCGTAGAGCGTACCATTTATACCCGAACTTGTGAGGTTCAATCCGACCACGGCTCCACGGTTACTGCAAGAAACGCCATACCATGTGCATGGGCTAGCACTAGGCCTTGGGTGGCTGGAAGAATTGGTGGCATTATTAGGAAGAAGAGTCCATGAAGCCAGCAGAGAGTTATTCTGAAGGCTAGCTTTCCATTTAAGGAGAGCAGTGGCTTCTTCTGAAGAAGCAGAAGTAACATTGGCTGTTGAGAAACATATAGATATTGTAACCAAGGAAACAAGGAAACTAGTCTTCTCCAACGTTAGAGAACCCATTTTTTTTTTGCCGATGTTTAACATGAGACGGATCAAAGCTCTTATTTATAAGCCAGTTATTCACGTCCCCACACTAAGCTTGGGAAGTCGTCCTGTTGGCCATTTTCCACCTACCCAGTTGTAATGAGAGACTAAGAAAGTGAGAGTCATCCCTCTAGACTTGAGTGTGTTCTTTCTGCAAGGTCAAAGTCCTTGCCTTTGGCAGCTAACAATGGGCATGTCAATAGGCAAGAAAACTAGGAATTGTCAATCCATTCGTGTCGTATTTGAACAGTTTCATTTGAAATTCGTGTCAAATATAAAGCAAATCAGTTAATAAACCTTATCAAATGTTCTACCACTAATTCGATATATTTATTGATCATGTCGCGTTTCAATCAATACGTGAATTAAATATTAAAGGCTAGCTACAACCCTATTTCTCTCAACTAAACCGTCTACTGGTTATGCTAGCACAACGTACTAAAAAATCCTCTAATCTTTTACTAATTCGTTGTATACCTGATCAAGAAATAAAAAAAAAATTAACTAATTTCTATATGTAATATAACTTAAAAGGGTTTATCGTGTCAAAATTATATTATTCGTATTCAACACTAGTCCGACCTCTTTAATTTATGTTCATTTTTCAGTTTTTTATAACAAATTAGTCAATATTAATTTATTAATTTCGTAACGCGTTTCGACTCTTAGCGTATTGACCTAGACATTAGTCCCTCTTGATCGCAATGTAGGGACTAATAAACTTTTGACAAGAGACCCCCACCATACGGTCCCATTTCTATACTTCACATTGGAAAATTTTGGGCTGATAACGTTTACGAATTGATGGATTTTACATTTGCCTTCGACTTTCACTTTTAATGTTCCCAACCCACTGATATAATGAGTCTAGTCCTTTGGTGGTAATAATTCAAGAACTTGTTAACGTAAGTTTAAAAGAAGTTAAAAAATTTTGGACGCCGGACCTTGAATATTATCCTCTCAAATTAATAACAAATAGCATAAACAAATCAATGGTCTAATAGATTTTGATACACGAGGACATAAGAAGAACATTTAAACAGAAAAAATCTTTAACCCCTAGGAATAGTTCAAGTTGTAGTAGAGATAAATTGTAAATCTAAACATCTTGAGTTTGAAACTTGACAATTCTTTTGGGTTCTCCCATGAGTAATTTTATTTCTCACGAATATCCTATTTTTGGCGTGAATAATTTACACCTTTGACCAGATCGAAGAGGATATTAGTCAAAGTGTGTGTAAGATGACCCAAATACCTATGTCCGTTAAACCAAAACGAAAAAAACAAAATTCTAATAAAACCCAAAATTACGACCTACCATTTTGACAATCACTTTGAACCCTAAACCTTGACCTTGGGATTACTACTGTGAACAATCTATTATTGTAACTTAGGCCAATCCATCTATTACAGAATAGAAAAAAAAAAGTCCACAGAGCGGTGACAAAAAGTCCAAGAGAGCACAATAAAATTTCCAAAGATATAATCACCCCCCATAATATGCATGTCTTCCAGTCGGAATTTTTCCACGACTCCAGTTATAATCAGAGGCTAAGAAAGTGAGGCTCATCACCCCTAGACTTTAAGGTCAAAGTCCTTGCCTTTGGCAGCTAACGATGTGCATTTTATACGGGAGAAATGTAGGGACCGTAATTGTGCCGTGTTTGAATAAACTTATTTTGAATAAGTATCAGATATTAATTAATTTTAATTAAATTAATTTAATTAATCATGTCTTTTTTACGTTAAGAAGTGAATAAGAAATCCAAGATTAAATTCCTTTATGTATTTCAAACACACCCATTGGCTCTACATGAAGTAAAAATCCACGAGATCTTTATGCTAGCAAAACCCAAAAAAAAAAAAAAAACCCCTTTAATTGTATAACAATTCTTATTGTACCCAATAAAAATATGAAAAAACCATTTATTCTCTTCATGTAATACCAATCAACTGAGTTTGCTGTGTCAAAATTAAATTGTTTGTAATTGATATTAAACTGAGCTATTTATTATTCATGACAAAATGTTGTCATTTGCGAGTTTTTATTAAAGATTAGTCAATCAATCACGACTTACTAATTTCATAACGCGTTTCATGTCTGACGTGTCTATTTAAGCGGTGGTCCTTTTTGATCTTTATGTAAGCACCAGAAAAACAAGCCCCACCATATGTAGATCCATTTTGATCTTCATAACGCGTTTCTCTTTTAATGCATGTCTCCACCAATTGATATATTGAGTCTGTCCCCTACCTGGTAATCTTCCAAGAAAAGCCAATGTAATAATAGTAAGTGACTCTAATTGGCCTATTTCTTGGGGGAATAGGGCCATTCAAATTATTTGTGGACAAGCGAAGGGTCTAAAGATTTTTTAATTGTCCAATTTCTGGTGGAATCATTCTTGAAAGTTGATTGCCAGACAAATTAAAATAGATGAGGTTGGAGAGTTGTCCTATTTGAGGTGGCAATATACCAGACCTGATTATTCACATTGATTTCAAGGTATGAAAGATTGGAGAGAAACGAAAATACCAAGTCATAGAGCCTACCAGATCTTGTGAGGTTCTGTTGGAAACAAGAACAGGCTATATGAAAAGACATGCAGAGAATAGAGAGAACACAAAGGCTTAAATTTATTAAGCAGTAAAAACACATATTTATACATCTTTTTTTTTTTGATAGAAACGGTAGCATATTTATACATCTTTGAATTGCTGAAAATTAGCTAGAAATCAGCTAACAAATAACCTAAGAAATCTCAAGTGTATCAGGAACTTGCTAATTTATTGGTTATGGATAAGACTAACTTTAACAGCTATTTTGACTCTTTCAAACCACATCAGCAGCTTCTAAGTCACATTTTCAACACTCCTCATTGACTTTGGAGCTGCATACTCCTAACTTCAGCGTCAAATTTTCAAAACGAGCTTTAGGCAATGCTTTTGTAAATATATCAGCATTTTGGTCTTCAGTTTTGCAATAAACCAGCTGCACTTCTCTGTCTTTTTGCACTTCTCTCAAAAAATAGAGTTTAACCTTGAAATGCTTTGTCTTGCCATGGAACACTAGGTTATTAGCAATTGAAATTGCAGCTTGGTTATCCACAAAAATCTTTGTGCCTTGTTCATGCTTCATCTGCAAATCAGCTATAAGTTTCCTGATCCAAAGGCTGCTAGATATTCTGCCTCAGTTGTGGACTGTGCTATAATTTCCTGTTTCTTAGAACACCATGAAAAAATGCCAGAAACAAAACTAAAAAAATAGCCAGAAGTGCTCCTCATATCATCAACACATCCAGCCCAATCACTATCAGAATAACCATGAAGATTGAAATCCTTGACTTAACTGAATTTTAAGCCATAATCAACTGTGCCTTTGACATGTCTAACAATTCTTTTTGCTGCTTGTAAATGAATTTTGCTAGCACAGTGCACGTATCTTGACAAAAGGCTTACAACTTGCATGATATCTGGCCTGGTTGCTGTTAGGTACATCAGGCAGCCTATTAGGCTTCTGTACAGCGTTTCATCAACCTTTTCAGCTCCATCTTCTCTGCATAATTTTTCCTTTTGATTCATTGGAGTAGTAGTTGGCTTGCATTCTTCCATGTTGAACTTTTTGAGAATTTCCTTTGCATATTTCTGCTGGTGCACAAAAATTTCATGTCGTTTTTGCTGCACTTGCATACCAAGGAAGAATGACATCTTCCCAAGGTCTGTCATCTCGAACATGTCTTTCATACTTTCTTTAAAAAAACCAATTAACTCCTCATTACTTCCTGTAACAAGCAGATCATCAACATATAAAGACACCACAAGTAATTCATCATCAGCTTTCCTTACATATAGAGTAAATTTACTTAGACACTTTTCAAAGCCTAAGTTCACCAAGTATGCATCAATTCTGCTATACCAGGCACTTGGTGGCTGTTTTCAATGTCATCATTCTGGTAAAAATGGTGGATGAGACCGCTGCAAACAAGGTTGCTCTTGCTTTTGATTTTCTTTGCTTCCTCTCCTTTTGATTTTTGATTTGTGCAAGAGTTGGATTATCTGGCAAGGGTGGAACTTCATATACTTGTTCAACAGCTTCCCATAGATCATTAGCATCAAGATAGGCTTCCATTCTAACAGCCCACACCTGATAATTTGTTCCATCAAACACTGGAGGTGCAATCGCAGTGAATGAACTTTTTGAATTCATTCTGAATGGTTTGTAAGGTTTTGTGTGTTGTGTGGGATAGGTGATAGTTGTTTTGGATTGTGTCTGGGCTCACTCAATCTCACGGGTCCTTCAAGAAAAATGCTCTAATACCAATTTGTTGGAAACAAGAACAAGCTGTATGAAAAGATATGCAAAGAATAGAGAGAACACNTCTGAATGGTTTGTAAGGTTTTGTGTGTTGTGTGGGATAGGTGATAGTTGTTTTGGATTGTGTCTGGGCTCACTCAATCTCACGGGTCCTTCAAGAAAAATGCTCTAATACCAATTTTTTGGAAACAAGAACAAGCTGTATGAAAAGATATGCAGAGAATAGAGAGAACAAAAAGGCTTAAATTTATTGAGCAGTAAAAGCACATATTTATACATCAAAGATGTAAACTGAATTGCTGACAATTAGCTAGAAATCAGCCAACAAATGACCTAAGAAATCTGAAGTGTATCAGGAACTTGCTAATTTATTGGTTATGGATAAGACTAACTTTAACAGTTATTTTGACTCTTTCAAAACCACATCAACAGCTTCTAAGTCACATTTTCAACAGGTTCGNTGTAAACTGAATTGCTGAAAATTAGCTAGAAATCAGCCAACAAATGACCTAAGAAATCTGAAGTGTATCAGGAACTTGCTAATTTATTGGTTATGGATAAGACTAACTTTAACAGCTATTTTGACTCTTTCAAACCACATCAACAGCTTCTAAGTCACATTTTCAACAGGTTCGATCTGACTACGACGCCATGGTTATTGCAGGAAACTCCATACCAACTACATGGGCCGGTACCAGGCTTTGAATGGCTGAAAGAATTGGTGGCATTATTAGGAAGAAGAGTCCATGAAGCCAGCTGACAGTTATTCTGAAGGCTAACTATCCATTTAAGGATAGCACTGGCTTCTTCTGTAGAAGCAGAAATAACATTGGCTGTAGAGAAACATATAGATATTGTGACCTAGGAAACTAGTCTTGTCTAACGTTAGAGAACCCATTTTTTTTCAATGCTTAACATGGACTGGATAGAAGCTCTCATTGATAAGCCAGTCTTTCACAATCCCAACATTAGGCTATGGAAGTCGTCCTGCTGGCCATTTGGATTAGTACAAATAATATGTGAACTAAATATTCAAAGCTATAACCTTTTCTCTCTCAACCAAGTTTTCCACTGGTAGGCACTACACGGACCAACACTCCTTTGATCTTTAAGGTAGCAAAACCTAGTAAAAAAAATCCTCTAATTTTTTAATAATATATGAAATACCTGATTAAAAATCAGATTTTTTATTCATATTATATAAATAAAAATGACTTTATCATGTAAAATTTATATTATTCGCATTTGACACTAATTCAATCTCTTTAATTGGTGTTAACGGATCATATCAATTTTAAATTTTTAGCAAAAATTAATCAATCTTAACTTATTTGATACATTTCAACTCTGACGTGCGGACTTGAGCATTTTGTCAAGAGCCCCACCATCTGTTTCCCTCTCTACACTTGACAGTGCAAATTGGAATACTCAATAATGCTGTGTTAGTGATTGTTTGGACCGAGCAACTGGATATTTTTAGGCAGATGACGATTACGAATTCATGGATTTTACCTTCGCCTTCGATTTTAACTTACAGTGTTCCCTATCCAGTGAGATAAAGAGACTGGTCCTTTGCTGGTAATAATTCAACAAATTGTCAACGTAATAATGAAATAATAATAATAATATAGAACAATCCATCAATTACAGAATAACATCCATTCACAAAGCAATCGAGAGAGAGCTCGACACGACCCTCTCCGATTAGTAATTAATTAGTACATTTTGTAAATATGGAATGGAGTGACTGGTTCGTTGAATAAAGGCCCTCCCCTGACCCTGAGGTTTTGGTTTTGGACTTTATGGAAAAAGGTTGGGACCCCAGTTTCTCTTGCTTTCAGCCTTAACGGCAGCATTGCCTTTCCTTGCCCTTACCATTTGCTTACGGCATTGACCCCAAGAAAATGACAATTCGACACCGACGTCATAATAAAATGTAATTTTGAATGACTAGAAACACTCCAATTATAATTACCGGCACGGTAAGGGTGTCGGTTGAACTAAAATTGAGTATATTTAAGCTTAGTTTGATTATTATTATTGGCCGAGTTGAGGCTCAAAACAACCGCTAAGAAACTCATATAATAGAAATTTGCGAACATTCACATCAAGATTGATTCAATTTCTAAACAAAAATTTGGACTGTGAAATATATGAACGGTAGTTTCAAGAAGAATAAGAGAGAGAAGATAAAAGAGTAAAAGAGCGATAGGCATAACTTTTTTCTAAACAACTTTTTCAAGTCCGAGAATGATAAATGGTAAGCAATATTATCTCCATTTGTAGACGCCAATTCTCGGATTTGGACTCTAGGCATATCGCATAGACTGGACAACACTTGCAACCTCTATAGGTTCAACATCTTTTGTAAGGAGAGTTGTATAGAATGAAAAAAAAAAAANTGGACTCGAGGCATATCGCTTAGACTGGACAACACTTGCAACCTCTATAGGTTCAACATCTTTTGTAAGGAGAGTTGTACAGAATGAAAAAAAAATAAATAAATAAGGGGGAAACTCACTTTGCACCCCAAAAGATTTAAGGTTTTATATTTTGCATCTTCAAAGATGAAATTTCTCACATTGCACATTCAATATATTAAAGGTGTTATAATGTGGCCTTTCAGTTACCTTCTATTGCTTATTCTATCAAAATTTACGACATTTTCGTTGACAAAATAAGTAACGGAATGGTCATATTACAAGACTTTTAATATATTGAGGGTGCAATGTGAGAAATTTAATCTCTGGTACAAAATAAGATATTAAATCTTTCTGGGTGTAAAATGAAAATTGCCCAAAATTTAAGAAGAATTTAAAAATACGACTTACCAAAATTGAAGTAGCCAATACCTTTCCAACCATAGTATTTCCAAATCATTTAATAATGCAAAAAAGAAGCCCAGTCCTGCTATTTTGCTAACGTCTACGATTCGGTCTCCAAAAATATTTGTATGCTTATGGACACATACCAACACGCCAAGAATACAGATTACCCATTATCGTCAATGTCTCGGTATATAGGTTGTAAACACAAACCATTGATTAATTCAATCAATTGATAGATCATAATGATTGCTCAGGTTAGGGAAATGCGAACAGTATCAAATAATACATAGATGCTAACATATCACAAGAATAGAAATGCCGAAAGTTTTTTTTTGTTTACAAAGTCTAAAAATGTTGAAAGCTAAAGACACCAAACAATATGTAATGCCATATCATTATTTAACTAATCATTCACTGTGTACAGAACGACCATTCAAGATGCCTCTAAGAAGGTGTTATTCGGATTGACAACTGCTGAGCAACAGTATGCATGGATGGCCTGAATTGTGGATTGACATATAAACATTCTCTAGCCAATCTTTATAACATATAGCAGTGCTTCCCCAACTTCAATTGAGGGAGGCGGAAGGCGCTGGTCCAATAAATCTTCAAGCAGTATGTTCTCAGCTGATTGAGAAACCAAAGAAGTGATGCAACCCCCTGGATGTGCTCCTTACCAAAGCTAAACACATCGCACAANTGTTCTCAGCTGATTGAGAAACCAAAGAAGTGATGCAACCCCCTGGATGTGCTCCTTTCATCACTTCTAGTGTTAACACACCAAAGCTAAACACATCGCACTTNCATATCATTATTTAACTAATCATTCACTGTGTACAGAACGACCATTCAAGATGCCTCTAAGAAGGTGTTATTCGGATTGACAACTGCTGAGCAACAGTATGCATGGATGGCCTGAATTGTGGATTGACATATAAACATTCTCTAGCCAATCTTTATAACATATAGCAGTGCTTCCCCAACTTCAATTGAGGGAGGCGGAAGGCGCTGGTCCAATAAATCTTCAAGCAGTATGTTCTCAGCTGATTGAGAAACCAAAGAAGTGATGCAACCCCCTGGATGTGCTCCTTACCAAAGCTAAACACATCGCACAACTCAGTCACCTTCATTGTGTAAGCAAACTCTGAAAAGAAAAGCAACAAGTGATCATGCATTTATGTTTGATGTCAGTTTATGATAGTAGAAAGTGAAAAACTAAATATATTACCTGGTGCAACATAACCGTATGTGCCCACAAGCGTGCTCCAATTGGATGAGTCTAGTTTCAGAAGCTTAGCAGTGCCAAAATCTGAGACACGAGCCTCGTACTCTATATCCAGCAAAATGTTGCTACATGTGATGTCTCGATGAACAATAGGTGGTGAGCAGTCATGGTGCATGTATGACAAAGCATGAGCCACACCCTTAACAATATTCACCCTCTTAGGCCAGTCTAATTTCTTAGCTTCATCTTCTGTGCTCAACATTGTGGCCAGGTTACCCCTTTCAAGATACTCATAGACCAAAAATGAATGTCGAGCATGCTTACAGAAACCGTGAAGTTTCACGATATTCCGGTGCCTTACTTCTGTCAATGCTCTTACCTCGCTAAGAAATCCTTTACGATCTACCATATCAGATGAGGGGTGAAGCTTCTTCACAGCTACTATGTTATCCGGTGGCAGATTTGCTTTGTAGACAACTCCATATCCTCCCTGTCCTATGCAATGTGTGGCGTCAAAATCATTTGTGGCTTTTATGATTTCATCATACATTGCTCGTCCATCAAAAGTTGTTATTGCAAATAGATCTCTATTTTGCACCTCACTCTTCGACTTGTGAACTTCTCTTTCTTTTTTCAACAGTAATGAGAAGTCCAACGAATGCACATAAAGATATAAGTGCTCCAAGAAGAGGGAGTACGATTATAAGAACGAGTTTGTGGCCTCTCTTTTGAATATCTTTGTGGACCCAGGGAGGGTTTTTGCAGGGTTGCAATCCTGTAATGTTTCCACACAAACCTTTATTTCCTTGCACTGCATCTATGGAAGCATTCAAAAAGGCTATACTGCTGGGGATGGGACCTTGCAACTCATTGTAGGATATGTCTATATGCAACAGGCCATGCATGTCTTCAAAATCCGTTGGAATAATCCCAGAGAGTTTATTGTGGGAGAGATTCAATACTTCCAAACTCCCTGTAAACGAATTATAACTCAAATCGAGCACAGATAAATGAACTAACTTACCCATCTGATCTTGAATTTCCTGGGAAAACTTCTTGTCGCTCAAGTTCAAGTAATGCAGTTGCAAGGAACCCACTAGAGATCCTGGCACCGGCCCCCTCAATCTATTTTTGGATAGGTCCAATGACAACAGATTATTTAGAGATCCTAGTTCTGGAGGTATGCCACCAGAAAGCTGGTTGTCATTCAAATACAACTCCAACAGAGAAGTCAACTTTCCAAATTCCTTCGGAATTCCTCCAGCTAAATGATTTGAAGAAAGACGAAGCACATGTAATTGAGTTGAATTTGCCAACTCCGGTGGTATGCTACCTGTGATGTTGTTTCCTGTGATCTTCAAGGTTTTCAATTGTTTACACCTACCCCAGTTATTAGTGAGTTCGCCATAAAAGTCATTGTTACTTAGATCAATGAAGTCCAAATCTGGATAGACACCAAAATCTTCAGACATATTTCCTGTGAGTTGATTTCCATTGAGGCGGACTCTGAATAAGCTTGAGCAGTTTCTAAAGCTTTTGGGGATTGAACCATTGAGTTGGTTGTTGAGAACTGCGAAATGCCACAGTTTTCCACCTTGGCAAATGTTTTCTGGAATGTGGCCAAAGAGCTGATTTTCGCTCATTTCTAGTATAACCAATGTCAGGTTTCCCAATTCTTGGGGAATAGGACCAGAAAGATTGTTCCCACTGAGGCCTAAAGTTCCTAAACTGGTTAGATTACCAAGTGAAGCAGGAATGGAACCATTCAATTGGTTGCCTCCTAGTGACAAAACTTTAAGGGATTTCAAGTTTCCGATTTCTGGAGGAATGGGACCACAAAGATTATTTTTATGCAGATATAAATAAATCAACTTGTCCAAACTACATAGAGAAACAGGAATGTAACCACTAAGATTGTTGATGTCCAAAGCAAGATAATTAAGAGATTTTAGCCGGCCTATTTCTCTTGGTATAGACCCGTTTAAATTATTTTCAGACAGATAAAGAAGCTAAGATTTTTTCATTGACCAATTTCTTGGGGGATGGAGCCATTTAAATTATTTTTGAACAGGTAAATGGTCTGAAGATATTTTATCTGACCGATTTCTGGTGGGATTATATCCGAAAGTTGATTACCGGACAAATCTAAGATAGAAGAGATTGGAGAGTTGACTTATTTGAGGAGGGATTATACCAAAGAGATTATTCAAACTGATTTCAAGGTATGAAAGATTGAGGAGAAATGAGAATGGAAAATCGTAGAGCGTACTATGTATACTTGAAGTTGTGAGGTTGAGTCTGACCACGACTCCATGGTTATTGCAGGAAACTCCATACCAAGTACATGTGCTAGCACTGGGAGTTGGATGGCTAGAAGAATTGGAGGCATTATTAGGAAGTCAGTCGACAGTTATTCTGCAGGCTGGCTTTCCACTGGAGGAGAGCACTGGCTTCTTGAATAGAAGCAAAAGCAACATTGGCAGTGGATAAACATGTGTATATTGTAAACAAGGGAACAAGGAAACTAGCCTTCTCTAACGTTAGAGAACCCATTTTGTTTTTTTCGATGTTTAACATGGAATGGATCGAAGCTCTTATTTATAAGACAGTCTTTCACAATCCCGACAATAGACTTTGGAAAAAGTCAAGTGACTCAATACAATCCCACCATACACATTTTTTTTTTTTTTGGACAAATCCCGCCATACACGTGAAACATGCACACAATTGACTCCATATGCTCCCACCAAATTCTTGGTGACATGGTGTGTAATTGTATTGTACAGTGGTATAAATCAAGTCGGATCGTGTCATAATTTTTTATTATATATTGATTCCCATTAAAAAAAAGCCATGTGATTCAAATTGTAGCAAAATTAAAAAAAAAAAAAATCTTTGGGAAACTAAAAAATTTAAAAACTATTCAATTGTAAAACAATTCATATAATGCTAGATCAAACTCTAAAAAAAAAAATCTTCAAAAATAACAGTTAAACTGATTATATGTGTCTTACAAAAACCCAATTCATTAATTATTCACCACACTGGACGTGTTATTTTGAAATTCGTATTGGGTTTGAGTAAAATTGTCAGTCAGTCACTCGTTACAATTGGTACTAACAAAATGTCTCTCTCTCTCTCTCTCAAAGCCAAACACCTGCCACTTCACTCCTCGCTGACAACGGTCTGAAAGTCTCCACTATACGATCAAAACGTGAAAACACACCATCATAGTTGATGAAGCTGCTCAAACACATTTCACATTACCAAACCGGAATCATCATTTCTAAAAAAATATTGTTTATGAAACTTTATGTTATATAAAATTTATCGTTTGTTTTATATTTGATGCTCCATTAGATATGAAGGATGAAACATAGAAAAGATAAAAAATAGAAAGAATATATTTTTTATCCTTTACGAAAGAAAAGTGTATTGGATGGATGGAAAAAAATTGACTAATTTTTTTTTTTTTTTTTTTGTGCTGGCTAAGATTAGAGATAATATTCGAGTCGTGTCGTGTCAGATTCGTGTTGATTCATTATGGGTTTGTATCGAACATTAGTTAAACCTAACTTAACTTATTTAACTAATTGTGTCGTGTTGAATTGCGAGCTGACCTGTTTCTTTTCGTGTCGTGTTCGTATTCGTATTGATCCACATAAATTTTGAATAAAAAAATTTAGGCTAATATTTTATTTTTTTATTTTTATTTTTTATTTTAAATTTATTTTTAAAAAAATATATATATATATATATATAAATACATATTTTATCATTTTATTTTTATATGAAATTAATGTATACATAATAAATGTATATATTAAAAGATGTATAGACAAATAAGAATATCTCAACATAAATAATTAATTTTTCATCCACTTTCCTTCCGATTTTAAAGGGATTGATTTTGGTGAGTTGAAAAAAAAATTAATTCATCCACTTTCTATCCTTCCTATTTCCTTCCCGATCAAACATGATATTTTATTTATCCCTATAATTTTTCATCATTCTATTTTTCTATCATTCCAAATGGAACATCGGAAAAATTAAGGCCAGTGTCCGTTCCGAGAGAAGCTGCAGGGTGCTAACGTTGAGCTTGGGTGGTGCTGGACCGGGCAGGACAATGATGGTTTTGATAAGCAGCCACGGTAGAACCCAGCATTGCAACACAGCCATCAATAGGTTAATACATGTGCTATCTACATATACGGTTGGCCTCTTGGATCGGATGTGAAGGGTTTTTATTTTTGTGTGTGTTTTGGGGGGAAAAAAGAAAAAAGGTGGGGGGGGGGGGGGGG